TGAGAGTCCTAGAAAGTTCTTCTCTCTCTCATGCCCTGATGCGTTTGTTGAGTGGTTTTGCAGCCGGGGCGGGGGGGGGGTTCCTCTTGTTTATGTTGGGGGTCACATGTCTAGGATACGCTGTCTATATCCACGACCAGCCGTGGTGTGCAAGTCTGCACGTCCACCCTCTTCCTCCCCCGAGAAGGGAACCGACCCACGATCGAGTTCTCACAACACCAAAGACACACTTAGGATTTAAAACAATCCTCAGCGGGGAAAAGGAACGATCCTTGTGTTTTTTTTTGTTGTTGTTGTTTCCAGTCTGATCCAGGAACCACCACCACCAAACCCCATGCAAAGCCGTGGGTCACAATACGACTCTTCCACCAAGAAAAACTAGAAATGATGCACACAGACAGGAACATCTTATTTTTTTTTTGAAATAAATGTATGTGCTTCCCACACGCGTCCATGTTCCCAGAGATCTTGTGTCAAGGTGAACAGCCGTGCAAAAGCTTCCCACAGGAAAAACATTTCTCACCACCCAGCTTCCTGGCTAGTACGAGGTTCACAGAAAGAACCATCACCAAAGGTTATTGCTGCACAAGCCTGGAAGGCCTTTCTAGAACATTCTTTCCCCCCCCCCCCCCCATCTCTGGGACTGGATGAAAGGTGGTTGTGATTATTTGTGATCATCGTGATCATTTTGGAGGGGGGTTGGGTGCCGGTCCTGGGTCTTGAACTCAGGGCCTGGGCGCTGTCCCTGAGCTGCTTTTCCTCAAGGCTGGTGCTCTACCACTTGAGCCACAGCGCCACTTCCAGCTTTTCAGTGGTTTATTGGGGATCAGAGTCTCTAAGATTTTTGTCTGCCTGGGCTGGCTTCGAACCGCGATCCTCAGATCTCAGCCTCCCGAGTAGCTGGGATGTCAGGCGGAAGCCACCGGCACTGGGCTTTTTCCTGGTGTCTCTGCTTACGTAGTTCATCCAATTTGGAATCTCCTTGCTCTCAGGTGAGTTTTCGGGGACAGAGTCCAGATTCGGTTAGGCTCTAGTCTTTCCAGTCTGGGGTGAATTTGGAGGGTCGAGATGTGTGTGTAGGGTTTGGTTTTATTTTGGGGGGATGTTGGGATGGGTGAAAGAGAACAGCTGGAGGGAACTTTGGTGGGAATTTGGCAAGCCAATGCGTTGGAGGACGGGAAAGAGAGAAAGCTGACGTTCCAGAAAGATAAACAGGAAAACGGTGTCAGCAAACTCACCTCAGAAGAGAAGGCCCACGGGCAGGCCGGCAGATGTATTGTATATTTTAGTTCTGCAGTCTCAGAAGAAGTAGGGAAAAAGTCTCTTCTGTTCTCCATCTTTCTAGAAAACGACGGTGGGGAAAATCCTTCTCCATTTTCCTTCATCCTGAGCACCTACACCGCAGGAGGCTGAGATCTGAGGATTGTGATCTGAGGCCAGCCCAGGCAGGAACATCCCTGAGACTCTTCATCACCAACGAACCACCACAAAGCCAGATGGGGAGCTGTGTGGCTCAAGGTGGTAGAGCACCAGCAGCGGAGATCAGAGTCTCACAGACTTTCCTGCCTGGGCCGGCTTTGAACCATGATCCTCAGATCTCAGCCTCCTGATTAGCTGGGATGACCTTCTTCCTGAAGACACCCATGCTTTGTGCAATTGGTGGCTCGTGAATGAGGAGCAGCAAGCTGTGGGTTGATTTCACTGCTGCAGTTTCTAGAAAGATCGAATGTGTTGTCTTATTTTTTTATCTTTTGGCTTTTGGTCTATGGTCTTGTCATCTCAAATGACCCATTCATGACCGAAGTGGACACACTCCCTGGCACCCACGTTCAGGAGTGTGAAAAACGGTTACGTGGCCGTACCCACCCGATCGGTAGTGTTTATCTGAGTTCTATTTCTCTTAGCTCCTCCGATCGCTTTCTAGATGAGCTGGCCCTGATTTGCAATTCTGGGAACGCCGCCAATGACGCCCTGTTCTTTCTGTTATTTTTCCTTTTCTTTCTTCTTCCCCTTTAACCTCCCAGCCCCTTTTAGCACTCCTTTAGGACGTGCTTGGATGTGAGTGTGCATCGCAGATCTGTTCAGATGGATTTGCACCAAGGTAGGGATAATCGTTGTACGGTGTGTGCCAGTCCTGGGGCTTGAACTCAGGGCTTCAGGTGCTGTGCATTAGCTTTTCCCCTCTCTCAAAGCTGGTGCTCTACCACTTGCGTCAACCTCCGTTCTTGTCTGGATTTAAATTTAAATTTTTTTTTTCTAGTTAATTGGAGAGGAGAATCTCTTAAGATTTCTCTGCTGGGGCCGGCCTCCAACTGTGATCCTCAGATGTCAGCCTCCAGAGTAGCTGGAATGGCAGGCGTGAGCCGCGGGGCGCAGGGTTATTTGAGTTAATGTTGAATCCGATCAGGACATCGTGATTGTTCTTCGGGCACTGAGACCAGGGCCTGCAGAAAAGCTGCATGTGAAAGAGATGGGGTCTGGCCTTCACACCTTGCATCCCGTCCTGGAGAAAGAAAATAATATATAATCACATGTAGCCATATAAAACCATGTCTAAGTAACACGTATACAATGTGCAGTGACAGAAATAAAAATATATGATAGCCCAATGATATATAACATGTAAATAATGCGTATAAAATAATACATGGCAATAAAAGAATATAACAAAACAATGTATAAATAATGTGTTTAAAAGAATATAGAGCAATAAAGTAATGTATAAGAAAATAATATGTAATAGATAAATCATGTGTATAAAAGAACATATAGCACAAAATAATATATAACAAAATGATATATAAAGTGTGCAAAAGAATATACAGCAATATATGCAGCAGTAATATATAATAACTAATCTATAATATATAAATAGTGTGTATAAAAGAATATGGAGGGCTGGGAAGGTGGCTCAGTGGTAGGTAGATTGAGTGTTTGCCTAGCGTGCATGAAGCCCTGGGTTTGTTTCCTCAGTATCCCATACACAGACAGAAAAAGCCAGAAATGGGTTGGGAAAATGGCTTAGTGGTAGAGTGCTTGCCTCACATACATGAAGCCTTGGGTTTGATTCTTCAGCACCACATAAACAGAAAAAAACTGGAAGTGGTGCTGTGGCTCAAGTGGTAGAGCGCTAGCCTTGAGCTGAAGAGTTCAGGGACAGCACCCAGGCCCTGAGTTCAAACCCAGGACTGGCCAAGGAAAAAAGAAAGAAAAAGAAAAAAAAAAACAGACTAGAATATATAATAACAAAATAATATCTACATCATGTGTATAATAAATAATGTGTATAAAACATAGCAACAGAACACATAATAAAATCGCTTCGATGACTAATGTGCATGCAGAGTGCACAGTAATAACACGATCATTTATAATAACAAAGTGACATGCAATAGCATGGAAATGTATAGAAGAGCATGGACTAATAGGCATGTAATGAAATGTAAAATAGTAGATAACATGACAATATAATAATAATAAATAAATAACAATAATAAAATAATAGATAACATGACAATATAATAATAATAAATAACAATAACAAATAATAGATAACATGATAATATAATAAAGTAATAGATAACATGACAATATAATAATAATAAATAATAACAATAATAAAATAATAGATAACATGACAATATAATAATAATAAATAACAATAACAAATAATAGATAACATGATAATATAATAAAGTAATAGATAACATGACAATATAATAATAATAAATAATAACAATAATAAAATAATAGATAACATGACAATATAATAATAATAAATAACAATAATAAATAATAGATAACATGATAATAGAATAATAAAAATAAATAATAAAATAATATATAACATGATAATATAATAAAATAATATATAACATGATAATATAATATAATAGATAACATGATAACATAATATAATAAAATAATAGATAACATGATAACATAATATAATAAAATAATAGATAACAATATAATAAAATAATAGATAACATAATATAATAAAATAATAGATAACATGATAACATAACATAATAAAATAATAGATAACATGATAATATAATAATAGATAACATGATAATATAATAATGATAAAATAAATAATAATAGATAACATCTATAACAATAGATGAAATAACAGATAACATCTATAGAGGATGAGAGAATAATCTGTGATGGTAAAACAGTGGTGGACAGTCTGAGGTCCCATCTGGGGGCCCCCTGTGTCTCTGGTCAGCGCGTGGGCTGGCGGGGTGGAGGAGGCAAGGGCCCGGGTCGGGCGGGGCACGCGGGGCACCTGGCCCCCTTGCCCGGCCTTGGCACTCACGGGGGCGTCGGGGTCGGAGGCGTCTGCGCAGGCCCCACGGGGACAGCGGGTGGCGGGCGTTTTGTGTCGTCGGGAAACCTGATAGGAGGCGGCAGCTGTGCTTCCCCCGCGCCCCCCCTCTCCCTGCCGGGCCGCTGCCGGGAAAACAACCCACCGGGGGCCGGGGGAGCCGGGGAGCCGGGGAGCCGGGGGAGCCGGGGAGCCGGGGGCAGCTGGGGGAGCCGGGGCCGGGGAGCCGGGGAGCCGGGGGCAGCCGGGGCCGGGGGAGCCGGGGGAGCCGGGGGCAGCCGGGGAGCCGGGGGAGCCGGGGGAGCCGGGGGAGCCGGGGGAGCCGGGGGAGCCGGGGGAGCCGGGGGAGCCGGGGAGCCGGGGGAGCCGGGGAGCCGGGGGCAGCTGGGGGAGCCGGGGCCGGGGGAGCCGGGGAGCCGGGGGCAGCCGGGGGCAGCCGGGGGCAGCCGGGGGAGCCGGGGAGCCGGGGGAGCCGGGGGCAGCCGGGGGCAGCCGGGGGCAGCCGGGGGCAGCCGGGGGCAGCCGGGGGGAGCCGGGGGAGCCGGGGGAGCCGGGGGAGCCGGGGGAGCCGGGGAGCCGGGACGGGACGCGGCGCAGCGCGGGGCAGACTGCGCCCAGAACTTTTTCTGGGGGGGGAGGACAAGGAAGGAAGAAGAGGGGGTGCGGGGAGCCCCTCCCGCCTTCTGGACCTTTCTGCCGCGGGCTCCCGCTGCCGCTTTCTTCTTTTATTATGTTTTTAGGGGTCCTTTGAATCTCGACACCCCGAAAGCCACGCGCAGCCCCGGGGAGGGCCAGGTAGGCCTCTGAGCTCGGGTCGCCCTCACTCCTGGGGGCCCGGGACCCTGAGCGGGCGGGGGTCAGGGTCACGGGCCGCGTGCGTGTGCGTGTGTGTGCGTGCGTGCGTGCGTGTGCCTGCGCGTAGACTGGAGAGACCTCCCCGGGCAAGATTCAGAGCGGGCAGGGGGTCAGGGTCATCGGCTGTGTGTGCGTGTGTGCATGCGTGTGCGTGCGTGTGCATATGCCTGTGCTTAGACTTCAGAGACCCGGGGAAGATTCAGAGGGGACAGGGGGTCAGGGTCATCGGCTGCGTGTGTGTGCGCGCGTGTGCATGTATGTGCACGCTTAGACTTCAGAGACCCAGGAAGAGCCAAGGCTTAGATTCAGAGTGGGCAGGGGATCAGAAGTCATCGGCCATGTGTGCACGTGTGCGTGTGTATGTGTGTGCACGTGTGTGCGTGTGAGACCCTGGGGAAGAGTCAGAGCGGGCAGGGGATCAGAAGTCAGTGTCTGTGTGTCTGTGTGTGCTCGTGTGCATCAGTGTATGCACGTGTGTCTGTGCGTGCACACATATGTCTGTGTGTGCACGTGTGTCTGTGTGCTGGGACTTCAGAGACCCCCGGGGGAGAGTCAGAGCGAGCAGGGGGTCAGAAGGCAGTGTCTGTGTGTGTGTCTGTGTGCGCATGTGTGTCTGTGCGTGCACGTGTGTCTGTGTGCTTGGACTTCAGAGACCCCCGGGGAAGAGTCAGAGCGGGCCGGGGGTCAGAAGCGCGTTAGACTGTGAGTTTGTGGCTCAAAGGACTGACACCATGGGGATCCGCCCGGGTGTATTCTGTCCTTTAGCTAATACACGTTATAGATGTGTGTTTGGTGTGTAAATAGTCTATACACCGTCAGGGTCAGGGGTGTATACACGATCCACGTGTATACATATATGTGTACAGAGAGACAGCCTCTATAGGTGCCGATATGTATCAGTATAAATGACATGCATATGTAAATATGTACAGCATATACTATACATACTGTACATATACTGTATATGTTAACTACACATAGTTAATAGGGGTATACATGCATATGATTCTGGATGTGCTGAATATGTACAGTATATGCTGTATATATGCTGTATATACTGTATGTATTCTGTATATATACTGTATATTTTAACTACACGTAGTTAATAGGGGTACCTGTGCATATGGTTCTGGATGTGCTGAGTATGTACAGTATATACTGTATATATGCTGTATATACTGTATGTATTCTGTATATATACTGTATATATTAACTACACGTAGTTAATAGGGGGACCCGTGCATATGGTTCTGGATGTGCTGAGTATGTACAGTATATACTATATATACTGTATATATACTGTATATACTGAATATATTAACTACACATAGTTAATAATGCATATGTTTCTGGATGTGCTGAGTATGTACAGTATATGCTGTATATATGCTGTATATACTGTATGTATTCTGTATATATACTGTATATATTAACTACATGTAGTTAATAGGGGTACCCGTGCATATGATTCTGGATGTGCTGACACAAATGCTGGAACGCCTTTCAGAAGGTTTTCACACTTGTGGGGACAAAAAGAAACCAACTGCATTTGCCCCTTCACACCGGGTTCCTCTTCCTCCTCCCTGCTGGGCCTCCTCCCAAGTTATCTGATAAAGGAAAGGGAGGACAGAGGCAGGTCAGAGGTCAGAGGTCAGCTAGCATCTCCTCCCTAACTTTACTCAATGACCAGTGGGAATTTAAGACTTAGAGGACCAGTTCCCTTCCCACCCCCTGCTGTGGCTCCCGCCTGTCATCCCAGCTGCTCAGGAGGCTGAGATCTGAGGATCAGGGTTCAAAGCCAGCCTGGGCAGGAAAGTCTGTGAGACTCTGATCTCCAGTGAACCACCAGGAAACTGGCGCTGTGGCTCAAGTGGTAGAGCGCCAGCCTTGAGCTGAAGAGCTGAGGGACAGCGCCCAGGCCCTGAGTTCAGGCCCCACGACTGACAAAAAAGAAAAGAAACAAGAGAAAAAGTCTCATGGCCTGTTCTGCCCTGACTGGCTTCGAACCGCCGACCTCAGCTCTCATCAATACCAGGAGGCATTGCTCTCTGGAGCCCCCGTGATTTTACTCTCATGGAGTAGCACATTTGCCACCCCAGGTTCCCCTTTGAGTCCAAAGCAGCATCTATTTCAATCCATAATGTTTCTGACTCCTGAGATGGGAGCAATTCCAGTCACCTGTCACTCGACTCCATTCGTCCGGGTCCCGTGCGGTGAGTTTTCCTCAGAGAAAGACCCAGAACTACCTAGAACCATGCCATCCCCTGGGTATCGCTGGCCTCTGGACCAACGAGCTCTTTCTGTGCGACGTCTCCAGCTAGTTATTTAGTCGTCTTTGTTGTTTTCCCCTCAAGGAATGATTTGATGTGATATGGCACCATGGTGATTGATTTTTTTTTTTTTGTCGGTCGTGGGGCTTGAACTCAGGGCCTGGGCGCTGCCCCTCAGCTCTTCAGCTCAAGGCTGGCGCTCTACCACTCGAGCCACAGCTCTGCTTCCCATTTTCTGAGTGGTTCACTGGAGATCAGAGTCTCATGGAGTTTCCTGCCCAGGCTGGCTTTGAACCGGGATCCTCAGATCTCAGCCTCCTGAGGAGCTGGGATCGCAGGAGTGATCACCGGTGCCTGGCTATGACCCTCTGTTTAATGCCACAGTTGGGTGAAGGAACACTTGTTTGTAACAAGAGGATGCTCACGCTCCTCTCTCTTCCTCTGCTGCTTAGAGAAAAGCCTAGAAGAAGAGATGAGTTTCTCCTTTTGCGGCAACAACATTTCCTCCTACAACATCTACGATGGCGTCTTGCAGAACCCTTGCTTCGTGGACGCCCTCAATCTGGTCCCGCATGTCTTCCTGCTCTTCATCACCTTCCCCATCCTCTTCATTGGTGAGTGCCGCCAGGTCTTGTGTTAGGTCGCCCGGCATTTCTATGTCCTCCTGAAGGCCGCGATTTAGATGAAGATGGCGGTGTTTTCCCTTCCTCCGTGAACGCGAATGAGTCCACTGGTGAGAAAAGTACATGTGTTTTGTGTTTTCTGAGGAAGCTTGGGTTCTGGCGGGCCCAGAGGCCACACGCATGTAATGCTGTGTCATACGCGTGTCATACGTGTGCTTAGACATTGGAGGAAAAACTGGGAGGGAGGGGGGACATGGTCCAAAAAGAAATGGACTGTGACCTGACTGATGTTAGTGTCACCTCTCTGCACATCCCTTTATCATAACAATAAAAAAGGTATTTACAAGAAGAAATGGGATATATATATATATTAACCAAGGGTTAAAAGAGACAGTCTATGAGGTAGAACGGAAGCCTATGTTGATCTCTTGCTTAGTACCAGGAGAAGGGAAAAAGGAAGCTGGGATGTGTGTGTGTGTGTGTGTGTGTGTGGAAGTGGAGTATTAGGCTGCACTGAATTGTCCAGAGAAACAGAAATGGCTGGAGGGGTGGAGGGATGACAATACCACATTGCCGGCCCATTTATAAATCCCCAAACTGATTATCCCCGGAGTCAATCTGCCAGGGCGAAACAGAAAGAAAAGAGAACAAGTCAGGTGCCAGTGGCTCCCGCCTGTCATCCCAGCTGCTCAGGAGGCTGAGATCTGAGGATCACGGTTCAAAGCCAGGCCGGAAAGGAAACTCCATGAGACTCGGATCTCCCAGGAACCACCAGAAAACTGGAATTGGCGCTGTGGCTCAAGTGGTAGAGCGCCAGCCTTGAGCCACAGAAGCTCAGGGACAGCGCTCGGGCCCTGAGTTCAAGCCCCCTCCCCCCAACCCCCCGCCATGGAGTGAGCTGTTTGGGGACTTGAAGTTAAAAAAATAAGTGTGAGTGAGGGTGTTTTAGGTAAAAATAATATACACGAAAAGTATCTGGAAATGAGTTGGTAATATAGTTTCCCCTAGGGTTTAACCACTGGGAGAATGATAATAAGAATCCAATGATTTAGGGCAGTTTGGTGTCATTTCCTCCAAAGAAACAAAGTAGATCCTTTTGCTTCTTAAATATTATAAAGCTGTCCTTACGATCTATAAGATGATCAAGAATACAATGGCCAGCGATTCATCTGAAAGAATGGAGCTTGAGAGGAAAAGAGACTCGCTCTGTCTACCATTTCCCAGCCAGTCCCTTCTCCCCCTTAACCTCTGACAAAATACAGCTGTCGCTGGGGACTGGTGGCTCCCGCCTGGCCTCCCAGCTACTCTGGAGGCCGAGATCGGAGGATCAAGGTTCAAAGCCAGCCCGGGTGGGAAGTGAGATCTTATCTCCAGTGAACCATCAGAAAACCAGAAGTGGTGCTGTGGTTCGAAGTGGTAGGGTGCTAACCTCTCGTGAAAGAGCTCAGGGACAGCGCCCAGGCTCTGAGTTCAAGACCCATGATATGTACTTCATATATATACATACTTATATATACATATATATAAGTACATATATATATATATATACACATACTTTTGTTGCTCCTGGGTCTTGAACTCAGGGCCTGGGCGCTGTCCCTGAGCTCTTTCTGCTCAAGGCTGGTGCTCTACCACTTGAACCACAGCTCCACTTCTGGTTTTCTGGTGGTTCATGGGAGATGAGAGTCCCACGGACTTTCCTGCCCAGGCTGGCGTTGAACCACGATCCTCAGATCTCAGCCTCCTGAGTAGCTGGGATGACAGGAACAATTTGTTTCTTGATTCCCAGTCAACTCATTGAAGGTTAAGCTTGTGAGCGTCTCTATTTAATCTAAGAACAGAGGCTGGTGAAAAAAAAAAGATCTTTAAGTAGAAAGAACCTGAAATGAACCTTGTTAAAACGCTATAGAAAAAAACCGTGCTGTGATTGCTAACGCTCACTTACACTACTAACTGCTCAGGCTGCCTCAGCCAGTGAGGGATTATATAGAAATCTCAGGATAGTGTCAGGAAGATATAACAATGCCCCAGGAAAGACCGTACACGCATCGAAGAGTTTATGAAATTCTGGGAGGCTATGCTAAGTATCCCTTCAATGCCAAAGTACATTTGGAAACAACCAAAGCATGATTCAATGTTCTTTTCAAAGAATGCTTTAGGGTGGTTTTTTCCCCCCATAGGGGAAATTCTTTCTACAAGCATGCATTCTTGAACATTCTTCAAATATGTTAGTTTCTCCTATAGTCAAAAAAGAAGGAGAAAAGGAGAGCAAACTGGGTTATTTCCTAACACTCCATAATTGAGGTATTATTCTCATTTTAAGGGGGAAACCTGTCCAGTTTTTACTCAACTGTCCATTTTTGTGAATTCCCCAACCAATTCCGTTCTTTAAAATCCAGGCGCTGTGGCTCACGCCTGTCATCCCAACGACCCAGGGGCCTGAGATCTGAGGATCATGGTTCGAAGCCAGCCCGGGGCGGAAAAGTCCCAGTGAGACTCTGATCTCCAATTCACCACTCAAAAAACTGGAAGTGGCGCTGAGGCTCAAGTGGTAGGGCGCTAGCCTTGGGTTAAAAAGCTCAGGGACGGTACCCGGGTCCTGAGTTCAAGCCCCACAACCGACCCCCCCCCCCCAAAAAAAAAGAGAGAGAGAAAGGGCTGGAGACATCAAATTTCCACTGATCAACTTTTCTGTTGTGGAGAGAGTCAGAAAGCTGTCAGTAAGAGCTGCTGGTGTCTGTGACACACATGTGCACACTCAGCCTTGCTTTTCTGAATAGTGCAACAAATAAATGCTGGGGTGTTTGCCAAACTGAGGTCAAAGGGTTATCCTGCATGTGTATGACTGTGTGCGCTTGCACGTGTGTGTGTCAGGGCTTGAGCTCAGAGTCTCCCCTCGTTCTTGGCTTTTGCACTCAAGGCTGGCGCTCTACCACTTGAGCCACAGCGCCACTTCTGGTTTTCTGGTGGTTCACGGGAGATGAGAGTCTCATGGACTTTCCTGCCCTGGCTGGCTTTGAACCACGATCCTCCGATCTCAGCCTCCTGAGTAACTGGGATGACAGGCGGGAGCCACTGGTGCTCCACTGGTTCCTTGTTTGCTTCTGAGTATCGTGAGAATGGTCTAGAATTTCCCCTGTTACTTTAGAAGGACTCAGGTTCCAGAAACTTCTCCAAACCATGCAGTGATGTGTTATAATAAGAATAGTTGTTAGAATTTGTTACTGTAAATATTGCAAACATACATATTTACATATCATGGATAGGATATGTTAAAACAAATGTATTATATATTTATACATATTTATGTTCATTATCTACCAATGTATCTGTCATCATAAATCCATATGTGTAAATATTTATATGAAACGTCATTTTTACATGCGTTATATATTTCACACACAGCGAGGCCGAAGGAGGATTCTCTTAGGAGAGGAACAGAAAGGCACAAATGCCTATCGAAGTCAGTGCCAGGAAATGGAAACAATCGTTTTCTTCTTTTTTGATATTTTTGTTTTATTTTGGCCCATGGGTGGGTTTCTCTGTCTCTGGGGGGGTGAGGGGGACACAGAAATGGGGGACAGAGGGTAAACCAAGGCAGCCGGGGTCCTCACTGGACACCAGGTGGAGAATGAACTCTACTACTGGTGGGTGGGGACGGGAGGGAAAAATGGGGAGAGAGGGAGGGAAGGAGGGGACAGGGTCCACAGAGACATGCGCTTGTGACCCGGCTGATGTCACTGTCACCCCTCTGCCCGCCACCTTTGTCATCACAATAAAAATTATATATATATATATATACATACACACATATATGTATGTATACATACACGTTAGGGCTGGGCAGGGGGCTCAGGGGTAGAGTGCTCGCCTAGCATGCATGAAGCCTGGGTTTGATTCCTCAGTACCACAGACACACAGAAAAAGCCGGAAGTGGCACTGTGGCTCAAGTGGTAGAGCGCCAGCCTTGAGCTGAAGAGCTGAGGGACAGCGCCCAGGCCCAGAGTTCAAGCCCCAGGACCGGCACCAAAAATAAGAAATATATATTATATAAATACTTATTACATACCTAGTTATTACACACACAGATGATACAATGAACATAAGTTGGTGGCGCGCAGGTGACACGTTGTGCAATTGCGTCTGTAATGACCATCCTTTTTATCTTGAAGGGGGATGCCCGCGTCAGTTGTCACGCGTGATTGTCAGGAAGCTTTACTTTCAGCTAGTTTTGACGTTTCTCTGCTTCCCTCCCCCTCCCCCTCCCCTCCCCCTTCTCCTCTCTCCCCTCCCCCCTCCTCCC